CACTCACACTCACACACTCACACTCATAATCACAATCACACTCATGCTCACACACACTCACACACACTCACACACAGTCGCACTCACACTCACTCACACACTTACACTCACACAATCACACTCACACTCACACTCACACTCACACTCACACTCACACTCACACTCACACTCACACTCTCACACTCACACTCACAGTCACTCACACTAAAACTCACACTCACTAATACTTACTCACACACTCACACTCACAGTCACTAACACACTCACACTCACTAATACTTACACTCATACTCACACTCACTCAAACACGCTCACACTCACACTCACACACTCACACTCACACACACACACACACTTACACTCAGTCACACACACAATCACTCACACTCTCTCACACTCACACAATCACACTCACACTCCCACACTCACACTCACACTCACACCCACACCCACACACTCACACTCACTCACACACACACACACTCACACTCACACTCAGTCACACACACTCACACTCACACAATCACTCAAATTCACACTCACACTCACTTACCCGCTCACACTCACACTCACACTCACACACTTACACTCACACAATCACACTCACACTTACACTCACACTCACACTCTCACAATCACGCTAACACTCACTCACACTAAAACTCACTCACACTCACTCACCCACTCACTCTCACACTCACACTCACAGTCAATAACACACTCACACTCACTAATACTCACTCACACTCACACTCACACACTAACTCACACTCACTCAAACACGCTCACACTCACACTCACACTCACTCACACACTCACACTCACACACTCACACTCACACTCACACTCACACTCACTCACACTAAAACTCACACTCACAATTACTCACCCACTCACACTCACACTCACAGTCACTAACACACTCACACTCACTAATACTCACTCACACTCACACTCACACTCACTCAAACACGCTCACACACACTCACACTCACACTCACACACACTCACACTTAGTCACACGCACAATCACACACTCACACTCTCTCACACTCACACAATCACCCCTGTGGTGGGGAAGAAGCGGAAACGCAACGCGAGCTCCGACACCTCGGACACCGAGGTCCTCCCCGCCCCTTCCCCCCGGGAGGAGGAGGAGACCAGTGTCCAGGTAGGGCCACCAGCTTGGGGACAACCAGTTCAGGGGGGGTGGGGAGGTCCTCGATGGGGTGGGAGGTCCCAGGAAGGGCTGGGGAGGTGGAGGTCCATGGATGGGGAAGGTCCGTGGATGATGAGAAGGTCTATGGATGATGGGAAGGTCCATGGGTGGGGAAGTCCATGGATGGGGAGGGCCATGGATGATGGGGAGGGCCATGGATGATGGGGAGGGCCATGGATGATGGGGAGGGCCATGGATGATGGGGAGGGCCATGGATGATGGGGAGGTCCATGGATGATGGGGAGGTCCATGGATGGGGAATGTCCATGGATGGGGAGGTCCATGGATGGGGAGATCCATGATTGATGAGAAGGTCCATGGATGATGGGGAGGTCCATGGATGATGGGGAGATCCATGGATGGGGAAGGTCCATGGATGATGGGAAGGTCCATGGATGATGGGAATGTCCATGGATGGGAAGGTCCATGAATAACAAGCTCCTTCCTTCCCCACCACGCCGATCATCTCCTCCCCCACCCCCACCTTGGCTGTGGACCCTCCACCTCCTCAACCCTCCAACCCTTTCCATCCCCACCTCAGGAGAGAGGTCCACCTTGGTGGAAACCCCCCCCACCATCCAGGACTTCCCCACCATCTCCTGCCCCTTCTTCTCCTCCCCCTCCAGAAGCGCCGCTCCAACCGGCAGGTGAAGCGCAAGAAGTACACGGAGGACCTGGACATCAAGATCACTGATGATGAGGAGGATGAAGAACTGGACGTCACGGGTCCCATCAGACCAGAACAACCCCCCATCCCTCAACCCCCCATCCCAGAACCTGAACCTGAAGGGGAGACCTTGCCCTCCATGCAGTTCTTTGTGGTGGGATTTGTCTTCTTCTCACCTCTTGGTGGTCGCCACCGTCTTCTCATCTTCACCACCTTGATGGGTTTCTCTTCCTCCACCTCCAGGAGAACCCGAGTGAGGAGGACGCAGCCATCGTGGACAAGGTCCTCTCCATGAGGGTGGTGAAGAAGGAGGTGAGGAACCATCTTTGGGGGGGAGGTTGGGAGGTTGGTTTGTTGGCCCATCCTGACGTCCTCACCTGCATCTCCGCAGCTTCCGTCCGGCCAGTTGATCGAGTCTGAGGAGTTTTTCGTCAAGTACAAGAACTAGTAGGTGGCCCAAAGGAGGTGGGATGGGTGGAGAAGGGTCTTCTGGGGTCAACCATGGCCCTAGGTGGTCTCCTTGGGTGGCCTGAGCTTCTCAAAGCCAAGGGGAGGAACCAGCAGGAGAAACGGCGCCCGACGTTGGGCTCGTCTCACCCAACCTTGGTCTTGGGCCTTCACCCAACCTTGGTCTTGGGCCTTCACCCAACCTTGGTGGGACCCAACGTTGGGCTCCATTCACCCAACCTTGGTCTTGGGCCTTCACCCAACCTTGGTGGGACCCAACATAGGCCTTATCCCACCCAACCTTGACCATCTTCCACCCAACCTTGGTCTCCTCCCCAGCTCCTACCTCCACTGTGAGTGGGCGACCATCGACCAGCTGGAGAAGGACAAGAGGATCCACCAGAAGCTGAAACGTTTCAAGACCAAGATGACCCAGATGCGTCACTTCTTCCACGAGGTGCTGGGGTTGGGGGTTGGAGGAGACCCCGAGGGGATGGTCCTGATGGTGTTTGTGGGGTCTTGGGGGGCACCTGGAGATGGTTGGGCCTGTTCCACCACCCTGGAGTTGATCCTTGAAGGTGTTTATGGTGTCTTGGTGGCATCTGGAGATGGTTGGGTTCATCTTGGGTTCTCAGGGATGGGTTTTGGTGGCAGCTGGAGATGTTTGAACCTGTTCCACCACCTTAGAGACGGTCCATGAAGGTGTTTATGGGGTCTTGGGGGTGTTTGGAGATGTTTGAGGTCTTCCTGGCCCTCAGGGGATGGTCCTTGAAGGTGTTTATGGAGTTTTGGGGGTGTTGGGAGATGGTTGGGTTGGGTTTGGGTCCCTGGGGATGGGTTTTGGTGGCAGCTGGAAATGTTTGAACCTGTTCCACCACCCTGGGGATGATCCTTGAAGGTCGTTATGGGGTCTTGGGGGTGTTTGGAGATGTTTGAGGTCTTCCTGGCCCTCAGGGGATGGTCCTTGAAGGTGTTTATGGAGTTTTGGGGGTGTTGGGAGATGGTTGGGTTGGGTTTGGGTCCCTGGGGATGGGTTTTGGTGGCAGCTGGAAATGTTTGAACCTGTTCCACCACCCTGGGGATGCACCTGTTCCACCACCCAGGAGACGATCCTTGAACGTCGTTATGGAGTCTTGGGTGTGGTTGGAGATGTTTGAGGCCTTCCTGGCCCTCAGGGACTGATCCTTGAAGGTGTTTCTGGTGTCTTGGTGGCATCTGGACCTCTTCAACCCCTCTGAGGACCTTCCCCACCCTCTCCCTCCCCAGGATGAAGAACCTTTCAACCCCGACTACGTGGAGGTCGATCGCATCCTGGACGAATCCCACAGCGTGGACAAGGACAACGGGGAGGTGGGTGAGAAACCACCTCCTGATGGGAGGTTCCTCTCCCATCCCACGTCCTCACCACCTTCTTCTCCAGCCCGTGGTCTACTACCTGGTCAAGTGGTGCTCCTTACCCTATGAAGACTCCACCTGGGAGCTCAAGGAGGACGTGGACGAGGCCAAGGTCGGCGACTTCAAGCGCATCCAAGCGCGGCCGCCCGACCTCAAACGCTTGGTGGGTCTCCAGGATCTTCTCTCCCACCTTCTCCTCCATCCTGAGGTCCCCCCAGAGTCACCTGGTGGGGTCTTGTTGGTCTTCTCCTCAGGCCAGACCTCAGGCCGGGGCGTGGAAGAAGTTGGAGATGTCCCATGAGTATAAGAACCACAACCAGTTGAGGGAGTATCAGTTGGAAGGGGTCAACTGGTTGCTCTTCAACTGGTACAACAGGTGAGGGGTGGTGGGAGAGGACAATGGGGTGGTGGGAGAGGACAATGGGGTGGGGGGAGAGGACCTGGAAAGGGACATCAAGGAGTGTGGAGCTCCAGGAGGTCGTTGAGGTGGGCAAGAGGATCTTGAGGTGGATCTCCAGCAGCTTGGAGCTCCACTAGGTTGGATCTCCACCAACTTGGAACTCCATGAGGACACTTGAGGTGGGCAGGAGGAGTTTGAGGTGGATCTCCACCAGCTTGGAGCTCCACCAGATTGGATCTCCACCAAGGTGGAGCTCCATGAGGACATAGAGGTGGGAAGGAGGACCTTGAGGTGGATCTCCCCAACTTGGAGCTCCACCAGGTTGGATCTCCACCAACCTGGAGCTCCACCAGGTTGGATCTCCACCAAGGTGGAGCTCCATGAGGACATAGAGGTAGGAAGGAGGACCTTGAGGTGGATCTCCACCAACTTGGAGCTCCACCAGCTTGGATCTCCACCAGCTTGGAGCTCCACCAGGTTGGATCTCCACCAAGGTGGAGCTCCATGAGGACATAGAGGTAGGAAGGAGGACCTTGAGGTGGATCTCCACCAACTTGGAGCTCCACCAGCTTGGATCTCCACCAGCTTGGAGCTCCACCAGGTTGGATCTCCACCAAGGTGGAGCTCCATGAGAACATAGAGGTAGGAAGGAGGATCTTGAGGTGGATCTCCACCAACTTGGAGCTCCATGAGAACATAGAGGTGGGAAGGAGGATCTTGAGGTGGATCTTCACCAGCTTGGAGCTCCACCAGGTTGGATCTCCACCAAGGTGGACCTCCATGAGGACATAGAGGTAGGAAAGAGGACCTTGAGGTGGATCTCCCCAACTTGGAGCTCCACCAGGTTGGATCTCCACCAACCTGGAGCTCCACCAGGTTGGATCTCCACCAACCTGGAGCTCCACCAGGTTGGATCTCCACCAACCTGGAGCTCCACCAGGTTGGATCTCCACCAACCTGGAGCTCCACCAGGTTGGATCTCCACCAACCTGGAGCTCCACCAGGTTGGATCTCCACCAACCTGGAGCTCCACCAGGTTGGATCTCCACCAAGGTGGAGCTCCATGAGGACATAGAGGTGGGAAGGAGGACCTTGAGGTGGATCTCCATCAACTTGGAGCTCCACCAGCTTGGATCTCCACCAGCTTGGAGCTCCACCAGGTTGGATCTCCACCAAGGTGGAGCTCCATGAGGACATAGAGGTGGGCAGGAGGAGTTTGAGGTGGATCTCCACCAAGGTGAAGCTCCATGAGAACATAAGAGGTGGGAAGGAGGATCTTGAGGTGGATCTTCACCAGCTTGGAGCTCCACCAGGTTGGATCTCCACCAAGGTGGAGCTCCATGAGGACATAGAGGTAGGAAGGAGGATCTTGAGGTGGATCTTCACCAGCTTGGAGCTCCACCAGGTTGGATCTCCACCAAGGTGGAGCTCCATGAGGACATAGAGGTAGGAAGGAGGATCTTGAGGTGGATCTTCACCATCTTGGAGCTCCAGGAGGTCGTTGAGGTGGGAAAGAGGACCTTGAGGTGGATCTTCCCACCTCCACCACCTTCTCCTCTCCTCCTCCTCCAGGCAAAACTGCATCTTGGCCGACGAGATGGGCTTGGGCAAGACCATCCAGTCCATCGCCTTCCTCCAGGAGGTCTTCAAGGTGGGGATCAGGGGACCATTCCTGGTCATCGCCCCCTTGTCCACCATCACCAACTGGGAGAGGGAGTTCAACACCTGGACCGAGATGAACACCATTGTCTACCACGGCAGCCTGGCCTCCCGCCAGATGATCCAGCAGTATGAGATGTACTGCAAGGACCCCCGGGTGAGGTGGCCCCACCCTTAGGACCTCCCTGCTCGGGGTCTTCTCCAATCTTAGGGGCTCCCCAAGACCTTGGGTTGGGGGGTTTGGGGGGTTTGAAGGCATCTCGGGAGCTTTGGTTGCTTCTCGTCCCCCCTTGAAGGCATCTCAGGAGCTTTGGTTCCTCCTCATGTCCCCTTGAAGGCACCTCCCAACCTTCTCCCAACCCTTGAAGGCACCTCCCAACCTTCACCCAACCCTTGAAGGCATCTCCCAACCTTACTTCCACCCCATCCCACCTTGAAGGCATCTCCCAACCTTCTCCCAACCCATGAAGGCACCTCCCAACCTTCTCCCAACCCTTGAAGGCACCTCCCAACCTTCCCCCAACCCTTGAAGGCATCTCCCAACCTTCTCCCAACCCTTGAAGGCACCTCCCAACCTTCTCCCAACCCTTGAAGGCATCTTCCAACCTTCTCCCAACCCTTGAAGGCACCTCCCAACCCTTGAAGGCACCTCCCCAACCTTCTCCCAACCCTTGAAGGCACCTCCCAACCTTCTCCCAACCCTTGAAGGCACCTCCCAACCTTCACCCAACCCTTGAAGGCACCTCCCAACCTTCCTTCCACCTCATCCCACCTTGAAGGCATCTCCCAACCTTCCACCTCTCCCTTCCAGGGCCGCCTCATCCCCGGGGCCTACAAGTTTGATGCCCTCATCACCACCTTCGAGATGATCCTCTCGGATTGTCCCGAGCTGAGGGAGATTGAGTGGAGATGTGTCATCATCGACGAGGCCCATCGCCTCAAGAACCGCAACTGCAAGCTCCTGGACAGCCTCAAGCACATGGACCTGGTGAGGGGGGGTTGGGGAGGTGGGGAGGACCTCTTGGGTGGTCGTTATGGGGTCTAGGGGGGGTCTGGAGATGGTTGGGTGGGGTTTGGGTTGCTGGAGATGGGTTTTGGTGGCACCTGGAGATGTTTGAAGCTGTTCCACCACCCAGGAGATGATCCTTGAAGGTGTTTATGGGGTCTTGGGGGCACCTGGAGATGTTTGAGGTCTTCCTGGCCCTCAGGGGCTGATCCTTGAAGGTCGTTATGGGGTCTTGGGGGCATCTGGAGATGATTGGGTTCATCCTGGGTTCCTGGGGATGGGTTTTGGTGGCATCTGGAGATGGTTGAGCTTGGTCCACCAGCCTAGAGATGGTCCCTGAAGGTCGTTATGGGGTCTTGGGGGTGTCTTGAGATAGTTGGGTGGGGTTTGGGTTCCTGGGGATGGGTTTTGGTGGCACCTGCAGATGTTTGAACCTGTTCCACCACCCTGGAGATGGTCCTTGAAGGTCGTTATGGGGTCTTGGGGCTGTCTGGAGGTGGTTGGGTGGGGTTTGGGTTCTCAGGGATGGGTTTTGGTGGCACCTGGAGATGTTTGAACCTGTTCCACCACCCTGGAGATGGTCCTTGAAGGTCGTTATGGGGTCTTGGGGCTGTCTGGAGGTGGTTGGGTGGGGTTTGGGTTCTCAGGGATGGGTTTTGGTGGCACCTGGAGATGTTTGAATCTGTTTCACCACCCTGGGGATGATCCTTGAAGGTGTTTATGGAGCCTTGGTGGCACCTGGAGATGGTTGGGCCTGTCCCCACCCTAAGCCCTCCCCATCTCCACCTTCTCCTCCTCAGGAACACAAGGTCCTCCTGACTGGGACCCCCCTCCAGAACACGGTGGAGGAACTTTTCAGTCTTCTCCACTTCCTGGAACCTTCTCAGTTCCCTTCAGAAGCCGAATTCCTCAAGGACTTCGGTGACCTCAAGACAGAAGAACAGGTGAGGAACCCACCTTGCACCTTCTCCCACCCCACCCAAGCTTCCTCCTCCTTCCTTGGAGGACCTCCTAGACCTTCTCATCCTCCCACCACCAGGTCCAGAAGCTCCAGGCCATCCTGAAGCCCATGATGCTCCGCCGCTTGAAGGAGGACGTGGAGAAGAACTTGGCTCCCAAGCAGGAGACCATCATCGAGGTGGAGTTGACCAACATCCAGAAGAAATACTACAGGGCCATCTTGGAGAAGAACTTCTCCTTCTTGTCCAAAGGTGCTGGTCACACCAACATGCCCAACCTTCTCAACACCATGATGGAACTCCGCAAGTGTTGTAACCATCCCTACCTCATCAACGGTGAGGAACCAGGTGGACATGGGACATCCCACCAACCTTTGGACCTCCCACCAACCCTTGGACCTCTTACCATGGGTGGAGGAGCTCAGAGGTCCATGTGGAACCATCTGGGTTGGGTTTTTAGCTTGGGGTTGGGGTGGAGCTTCAGGTCATGGTGGAGAAGGTTCTCCAGGTCCATCTAGTTGGGGTTTTTCTTCCATGAGCTCCAAGGAGGCACCTGTTGGGTTCCAGGTCATGGTGGAGAAGGTTCTCCAGGTCCATCTAGTTGGGGTTTTTCTTCCATGAGCTCCAAGGAGGCACCTGTTGGGTTCCAGGTCATGGTGGAGAAGGTTCTCCAGGTCCATCTAGTTGGGGTTTTTCTTCCATGAGCTCCAAGGAGGCACCTGTTGGGTTCCAGGTCATGGTGGAGAAGGTTCTCCAGGTCCATCTAGATGGGGTTTCTCCTCCAGGATCTTCATGGAGCCACCTGTTGGGCTCCAGGTCATGGTGGAGAAGGTTCTCCAGGTCCATCTAGTTGAGGTTTAATGGTCTTCAGGTCTTCTTTGGTGGAGCATCTCCACCCTTGTTGACTTCTCCTCCATGGAGCCACCTGTTGGGCTCCAGGTCATGGTGGAGAAGGTTCTCCAAGTCCATCTAGATGGGGTTTCTCCTCCATGGAGGCACCTCTTGGGCTCCAGGTCATGGTGGAGAAGGTTCTCCAGGTCCATCTAGATGGAGGTTCTCCTCCATGGAGCCACCTCTTGGGCTCCAGGTCATGGTGGAGAAGGTTCTCCACCTCCACCTAGCCAACCTTCTGACGCCCCTCAGCCCAGCCCTGCTCCTCCACCTCCTGCAGAAGCTCCCACCACCCCCCCTTGATGGTCCCACCTCCCCTTTCCAGGTGCAGAGGAGAAGATCCTGGCCGAGTTCAGGGACTCGTGTCACCACCACGTCCCCCACGACTTCCACCTCCAGGCCATGGTCCGCTCGGCCGGGAAGTTGGTCCTGATTGACAAGCTCCTCCCCAAGCTGAAGGCTGGAGGCCACAAGGTCCTTATCTTCTCTCAGATGGTCCGTTGCCTGGACATCCTGGAGGACTATCTCATCCAGAAGAGGTGGGGACAGGCTTCAGCTCTCACCACACCTCCTCCATGTCACCCTGGCCCTGCACTGCAGACACAGAGTGGAAATGGCCCAGGGTGGGGATCTGGCTGTTCACTGCCCATGTACCAAGGGATCCAAGTTGGGGGGTGGATGGGGTGGGGGGTGGGTGATGAAGGTGCTTGGGCTGGTGGAGGAGGTGGGGCCAGAAGGTGGGAACACCTGGAGGAACCAGGAGGTAGAACCAAGAGGTAGAACCACCAGCTGGAACAATGAGGTAGAACCACCTGGTGGAACTAAGAGGTGGAACCACCAGGTAGAACTATGAGGTAGAACCACCAGGTGCAACCAAGAGGTAGAACCACGAGGTGGAACCAAGAGGTAGAACCACCTGGTGGAACCAAGAGGTAGAACCACCAGGTAGAACCATGAGGTAGAACCACCAGGTGCAACCAAGAGGTAGAACCACGAGGTGGAACCAAGAGGTAGAACCACCTGGTGGAACCAAGAGGTAGAACCACCAGGTAGAACCATGAGGTAGAACCACCAGGTGCAACCAAGAGGTAGAACCACGAGGTGGAACCAAGAGGTAGAACCACCTGGTGGAACCAAGAGGTAGAACCACCAGGTAGAGGTGGAACCACGGAGCCAGGGGGTGGAGCCAAGGGGTAGAGCCAAGAGGTAGAACCTGGAGGTAGAACCACCAGGTAGAACCACCAGGTGGAACCACCAGGTGGAACCACCCCCTGGCCCCCCTAAGCTCCTCCGTGAAACCATCAGGTGGAACCACGAGGTGGAACCAAGAGGTAGAACCACCAGGTAGAACCACCAGGTGGAACCATGAGGTAGAACCAAGAGATAGAATCACCAGGTGAAACCAAGAGGTGGAACAACCAGGTAGGACCAAGAGGTAGAACCAAGAGGTGGAACCACCAGGTGGAACCAAGAGGTGGAACCACCAGGTAGAACCAAGAGGTGAAACCATCAGGTGGAACCACGAGGTGGAACCAAGAGGTAGAACCACCAGGTAGAACCACCAGGTGGAACCATGAGGTAGAACCAAGAAGAGATAGAACCACCAGGTGAAACCAAGAGGTGGAACCACCAGGTAGGACCAAGAGGTAGAACCAAGAGGTGGAACCACCAGTTGGAACCACCAGGTAGAACCATGAGGTGGAACCATCAGGTAGAACCACCACATAGAACCTTGAGGTGGAACCACCAGGTGGAACCAAGAGGTAGAACCAAGAGGTGGAACCACGAGGTAGAACCCAGAGGTAGAAGCAAGAGGTGGAACCATCAGGTAGAACCACCAGATGGAAGCACCAGGTGGAACCAAGAGGTGAAACGGAACCACAAGGTGGAACCACGAGGTAGATCCAAGAGGTAGAACCATGAGGTGGAAGCACCAGGTGGAACCAAGAGGTGAAACCAAGAGGTAGAACCAGGAGGTAGAACCACCAGGTGAAACCAGGAGGTAGAACCACCAGATGGAACCACCAGGTAGAACCAAGAGGTAGAACCACCAGGTAGAACCACGAGGTAGAACCAAGAGGTGGAACCACCAGGTGAAACCAAGACGTAGAACCACCGGGTAGAACCACCAAGTGGAACCAAGAGGTGGAACCACCAGGTGGAACCACAAGGTAGAACCAGTGGAACCACGAGGTAGAACCAAGAGGTATGACCATGACATAGAACTAGAAGGTAGAACCACCACATAGAACCATGAGGTGGAACTACCAGGTAGAGCCAAGAGGTAGAACCACCAGGTAAAACCACCAGGTAGAACCACGAGGTGGAACCCACAGGTGGAACCACGAGGTGGAACCAAGAGGTAGAACCACCAGGTGGAACCACCAAGTGGAACCACGAGGTAGAACCAAGAGGTATGACCATGACATAGAACTAGAAGGTAGAACCACCACATAGAACCATGAGGTGGAACTACCAGGTAGAGCCAAGAGGTAGAACCACCAGGTAAAACCACCAGGTAGAACCACGAGGTGGAACCCACAGGTGGAACCACGAGGTGGAACCAAGAGGTAGAACCACCAGGTGGAACCACCAGGTGGAACCACCAGGTGGAACGACCCCCTGGCCCCCCCAAGCTCCTCCACCTGCCCCCTGGGGCTGCCCCTGGTGTCCCCCCAGGTACCTGTACGAGCGCATCGACGGGCGGGTGCGGGGCAACCTCCGGCAGGCGGCCATCGACCGCTTCAGCCGCCCCGACTCCGACCGCTGCGGCTGGGGGGAGCCAGGGGGTGGAGCCAGGGGGTAGAACCTGGAGATGGAACCACCAGGTGGAA